TTATTCCAGAAAAAAGTAAAAAAAAGTGATACGTTAAGTATCGAGAACTTTTCTTGAATCTAGAAAATCAGGCATAAGTGTTAAGAATATTTTATCGTAGAGATTTCCTGTCTAAGTAAATGAGGAAAATAACTATTGAAAGATGGTTCTTGATAATCAAAACAATTATCGTGTAAAAATCGAGAAAATCGAGATAATTAAGCATTTTTCCCGAGATCCCGACTCTGTCCTGGCTCTAGTTCTGAAATCTTCAACGGACAGAAGATCATTATTGTTCAGACCATCTGGATTTTAATAAATTTCTCAATAAAGACATAATATACCTACTTATGTAACCTCAAAAAAAAATATTTAAATATATTAGGTTATCCTCGAAGATGGAAAGCTTATTATGGAAGGGGCCAACCAAATGGTCAATCAACTTGGAGATTTAGCATTGAATGGTAAATCTCTTCATGATGTAATAACTGGAAAGAATAGCCATTTATTTTCCAAAGAAAGTGGATTTGTTTTGAGTAATATAAGATATTTACGAGCTTTTTATTGCGTTCAGGTTTGTGGAAAAGAGGATTTTAAACAAAAAACTTTCCAGAGCGTAGCTAATCAAATAGTTGGCCATTATAAAAAAATATCTCTTTCCGAATTTGTAGAAATTACATATACAATAACTGGAGTGTGGATTGGAAGCAAGGTACATAAATTGATATTTTAATTGATATTGCCACCTAGGTGAAAAATTTCTTTTGATAATTGTAAACCTATTGTAAATAGAAGTTGGTACACATTTGACCAATATGTACTTTTTTGAAAAAATATGGAGAAAAATAAAATACCTATGATAGCTAGAGTATCTAAATTCGCACAAAATTCTCTTGGTGTGATCCTCTATATTTCCAATTATCATTCAAAGATAGTAGTAGATTTGTTAGATAAGGGTTAGCGTTCGATGTATGTTGCGTCTAAAATTCCAACCAGGGTTGCCGCCCGAAATCCGTGACAAGAAATGAAAACGCTCCAACCCGATACCCGAAATCCGTACCCGAGGATATTTTGTACCCGCGGCAACACTGATACAAACACTTAAATTTAACTAAATTAATTTTAATAAATATTCAGAAAATTCTTTCGGCAATGCAAAATGTAGTTGAAAAGAAAACTCAAATAGAAACTGGAATAAAACATACAAGGTCATATAATTATAAAAGCCCATAATTTAAATCTCGAGTTAAATTATCAACTTTTAAAATGGCATTTTAGTGGCTCATCAGTGACCCAACAAAGAAAAGAGCTTACTAAACTTATAATAGAAGTGGCAAAGCTAGAAGATGTCGATCTTGATAAAAGTGGCAATAAAGGTTAATTTTTGATAAATGTAAACAGACGGTAAATAGTGTTACTGTTCTCGATAGTCTTATTAATTAATCACGCAAATATAAAAATTATTGAGGATCTCCTAGGATTTATCAAGGCATTATTCTGCTATTCTGCCATAGTGATGGAAAGACCGGTTACATAATATATATGTAGTTAGTGGAATATAGTATAATTGGTGCGCATCGTTCTCATCCTAGCCCTAATGATGTTGGCAGAACTGGTTATACGGATCCGAAAAAGGGCCGTATATCCGAAACATTAGTATCGGATAACATTCGGATCGGATATCCGAAACCAAAAATTAGGAAAAATAGAAGATATCAAGCTTCCTGGCTTTGCAAATTCTCATAATTTTCACATGAGGCGCTATAAAGGAAAGAGTTGTAACTGTTATAAAAAACAAAATGTTTACAAGTTTAAAGAACCTTCATGTATATGGGTGTAATATCGAGTATCAAGCTTAACGGGATTTGAGGGGATTAACTCATTAACACTTCCCTCAATATCAATGATAATTCGTCAAATCGAGTGATAATTGATCTTAATCCCTCCATAACCTCCAGTGGGCTCAACTTTACAGTACCGCAGGCGAAAATTTTGAAAATAAAAATTTCGGTTCCGTATCTGGATATCCAAAGATTCCCAAATATCCGCCAAACTTAGTGCATAATAATTAAATATCTAATACAAAAACAAAGTAAATATACATCAATATTATTATGCTTAATATAATGAAATAAAATTTAAAATAATAAAAATATACAAGATTCTATACAAGATTAATCCAAACATCTATTTTTTCATTTAAAAGGCTCTTCCATGGCCCTAGTTGGATATTTCTCACTTAATAAGAACACACGTAATAAAGATTTTAGCAAATGCGATAAAAATCATGTCAATTGTCTTGCATTTTTTCATATTATGGCCCGTACTGATGAGAGGTATTATTCGATTTATTTAACGAATTATTGTTATTTTAACGAAAAATAGATAATTTAATAAATTATACATAGGTATATTTATAATTTTATTTACCAGTATCAAATTAGAAGCCCCGACTGAGGATGAAACTATGGATGAAACTTAAATATCTATGACAAATTTAATTTTAACCATTTTTAAATTATATTTTATTCAAAACATAATAAGGACTGATAATCTTTTTCTATTCGTAAATTGATAAACTGATATCCTCTCACATTCAGAGATATTTATATTTATTTTAGAGATCTATTATTTTTGCGATCAATTTATATTAATTTTATTTTTATAATATGTTTGTCCACAGGTCAAGAAGGTGGTTAAGCATCTGATTTATCAAAATAAATTTTATTTGTTAAATGTGATCTGTGACCATTGGTTAACTGTGACCATTTTAACTGTGATCGGAATTCAGTCGGTAATACAGTTTCCGTCAGTAATATTTCAGTCAGTTATCGGTTCGTATTCCGTACCGTATTAACGACAGTAATACTGACAAATACTGATGGATACCGAAAATACCTATAGACTTTATGTAAAATTTTCAGCGGCATCGTATTGCCGTATTTTAGTTTGTCCGTACTGTACTACCGATACGGAATACCCGTGACCGGACAATCCGTCAGGGGACAATCCGGCAGTGGAAAATCCGTCAGTGGACAATGCGTCAGTGGTTGGACAATCCGTCAGTGGACAATCAGTCAGTGAACAAATTCGTAATTCCTACCCATACCCAAACTAGTGCGTCCAAAAATTTTCATTTTTTCGTGTGAAGATTATAAGAAATATCGAAAATTTGTAGATAAATGAGGAAACCAGCAGATTTAGCTGGATTAAGAGGATATAAGTGGATTTGGGTAGCGAATGCCGATAGATTTAGAAGTATATAGGGGATTTGGATGGATTAGATTTGCATGATTAACGGATGGGATTATGTTGGATTTAGATGAATATTGGAATTGTGGGAAATCTATGAATAAGAGAAATTGTTTATAGTTGGATATCAATGGAACAACCTCCAAATCCTCTTAATCCGCCTATATCACTTGATATCCCACTTAATCCCCGAAATCCATCTTAATCTCCCTAATTCCTCGATAACCACCATAATACTGCAAATCTTGTATATTCCCCTTAATCCCAGAATATCTGACCTCCCCGATATCTCCCAAATCCGCTGATATCCCCTTAATCCAGCTAAATCTGCTGGTTTGCTCATTTATCTCCAAATTTTCGATATTTCTTATAATCTTCACACGAAGAATGAAATTTTTTCAACGTACTTATGGGTAGGAATTACGAATTTGTTCACTGACGGATTGTCCACTGACGTATTGTCCGACCTCTGACGCATTGTCCACTGACGGATTTTCCACTGCCGGATTGTCCACTGACGGATTGTCCGGGAGCCGGAATACCGATATTTAACGAAAAATACGACCGTCGCACAGTACGTTCCGATCACTAATTTTAACCCCTTAAACTCTAAATCAGCCCAGGCCATATTATACTAATATAGATCTCGTGGAACAAGTTCATGGATTGGAAATAAGGTTGGCTGATATTTAGAAATCTACGGATATCCGGATCCGATATCTTCCTTATATCCGGCCTTTTTTCGTCCTCCTTATATCCGGAAGACTTCCTTATATCCGGAATTCCTATATCCGGCCTTTTTTCGTATCCGGATATCCGGATTTGCTAACTTTAATTGGAAATTCTGTACTTTTATAAGTATTTGTATTTACTGCTCATCAGTTTTATCAAATAAATTTTATATTTCTATAAATGGAAAGTCATAGAGATTCATTAAAACTAATATTATTAATCAGTGTGGTAATTCAGTAAAATTAAATGTGAAAACTGAAATATTATTTATAAAATTGAGATAAATTTAATCAAATGAATCATTTTAATATGTAAAATTGATAGAAATATTACTTAATTTATAAATATAAATTTAATTTCTTCTCAGATTTTCAGAACTTAATTATGCTTTATTGCATTTTAATATTTAATTTCTTAATTATATTTCAACTATCATTAGGAGAGCAGCGCTTCCTAGGCAAATTTTTATTTAATAATAGTAAAGGATAAGGATGATTCAGATTGAGCTAACGTAATAAAGCAAAAATTGAAATAAAATTTATAGAGGCAGGGAACGGTTATAGAGAGCCGTGTTTCAAAAAAAATTTTTTTCGGATCGGATTTCTGTTAAAGTTTCAAGTTTCTGTTAACCATACACGTCCCTCGTCTATAGAGTAGGGTTGTCGGTTCTGGACCGAACCGTACGGAAGAACCGAGGATTTTTCGGTTCGGTTCGGTTTCGGATATCCGAAAATTTCCAAGAAAAGACAACCATACTATAGATGTATGGTCGACGTACATATCACAGTGACTAGGAGTCGAAAAATGTTCTGTGGTTGAATTGCGCATACGTGAGGAATAAGGAATATATTTTATATTTTCCAATGATCATATCAATGATTAAACAATAGGTCAGTGAACTTTTCTATTCGTAGATTCTTTCGAGAACTGGCACTTCTCGTACAAAAATACCTATATTCTTTAGTATTTCGAAAATTCTTAAAGTTCGATCAAATAAATTGAATAATTCAATTTAAGAAGGAAATCTTACAATCGAAATGAATCTGATTAAGGCAAAGATAAATATGTGCACTATCAACACATTCGAAAACGATGACTCATATTTTTATCATTTTGAAATACCTAAAGTAGTCGAAACTGAATTGAAATGGAAAAAGGAATGTTTTAAGGAAATAATGAAAGCTGCGGATCTTAAAGATAACAAAAATTGCACATTCACTGGGGCAAAATTTCATAAAGAGAACGAAGTTTTGGTACACAATGGAAAGGATATTGGGCTTTTTGAAGTTGATATAAATCAGTCTAAGACATGGCAGGTAATCTCCTTTTGTGATATTTCAACCTAATATTATAATGAATCAGAAAATTCTTAAAATTTACCCACTGATCAGACAATGGATAAGCGAACTTTCAAGATTTCGGAAACTATTGAAACACGAACATATAGGGTAGAAATTCCAATATGCCTTGTCTTAAGTCTTGACTCAAGCTTTTCTTGCGTTTTTTTCGGTCTTGGTCTTTGGTGTAGTCCCAGGACTCGAGTTTTTTTTCTGGTCTTGGATTTTTTTGGTCCCACTGACCAGACAGACCGTGACATTTCAATATTTTGTAAACTATTGAAACACGAACATATAGGATATAAATATATAAGACGCTTGGACTTGCCTCTTGACTCAATACTTTCCTTGGGGGTTTGTCGGTCTAGGTTTCGGGGTGTAGTCTTTCTCGAGTCTTGAGTCTTGGAAAATTTCTGGTCTTGGACATCTCTAATATAAGACTAAATCCTCTAAAAAATTAAATTTTGTGGGATAAGGAAAATAAGTATGTTTATTATATTTTTATACCTGAGTGTGTAGATGGTTGAATCAAAAGAGGATTTGGAGGTTGTTCCATTGATATCCAACTATAAACAATTTCTCTTATTCATAGATTTCCCACAATTCCAATATTCATCTAAATCCAACATAATCCCATCCGTTAATCATGCAAATCTAATCCATCCAAATCCCCTATATACTTCTAAATCTATCGGCATTCGCTACCCAAATCCACTTATATCCTCTTAATCCAGCTAAATCTGCTGGTTTCCTCATTTATCTACAAATTTTCGATATTTCTTATAATCTTCACACGAAAAAATGAAAATTTTTGGACGCACTAGTTTGGGTATGGGTAGGAATTACGAATTTGTTCACTGACGGATTGTCCACTGACGTATTGTCCGACCTCTGACGCATTGTCCACTGACGGATTTTCCACTGCCGGATTGTCCACTGACGGATTGTCCGGGAGCCGGAATACCGATATTTAACGAAAAATACGACCGTCGCACAGTACGTTCCGATCACTAATTTTAACCCCTTAAACTCTAAATCAGCCCAGGCCATATTATACTAATATAGATCTCGTGGAACAAGTTCATGGATTGGAAATAAGGTTGGCTGATATTTAGAAATCTACGGATATCCGGATCCGATATCTTCCTTATATCCGGCCTTTTTTCGTCCTCCTTATATCCGGAAGACTTCCTTATATCCGGAATTCCTATATCCGGCCTTTTTTCGTATCCGGATATCCGGATTTGCTAACTTTAATTGGAAATTCTGTACTTTTATAAGTATTTGTATTTACTGCTCATCAGTTTTATCAAATAAATTTTATATTTCTATAAATGGAAAGTCATAGAGATTCATTAAAACTAATATTATTAATCAGTGTGGTAATTCAGTAAAATTAAATGTGAAAACTGAAATATTATTTATAAAATTGAGATAAATTTAATCAAATGAATCATTTTAATATGTAAAATTGATAGAAATATTACTTAATTTATAAATATAAATTTAATTTCTTCTCAGATTTTCAGAACTTAATTATGCTTTATTGCATTTTAATATTTAATTTCTTAATTATATTTCAACTATCATTAGGAGAGCAGCGCTTCCTAGGCAAATTTTTATTTAATAATAGTAAAGGATAAGGATGATTCAGATTGAGCTAACGTAATAAAGCAAAAATTGAAATAAAATTTATAGAGGCAGGGAACGGTTATAGAGAGCCGTGTTTCAAAAAAAATTTTTTTCGGATCGGATTTCTGTTAAAGTTTCAAGTTTCTGTTAACCATACACGTCCCTCGTCTATAGAGTAGGGTTGTCGGTTCTGGACCGAACCGTACGGAAGAACCGAGGATTTTTCGGTTCGGTTCGGTTTCGGATATCCGAAAATTTCCAAGAAAAGACAACCATACTATAGATGTATGGTCGACGTACATATCACAGTGACTAGGAGTCGAAAAATGTTCTGTGGTTGAATTGCGCATACGTGAGGAATAAGGAATATATTTTATATTTTCCAATGATCATATCAATGATTAAACAATAGGTCAGTGAACTTTTCTATTCGTAGATTCTTTCGAGAACTGGCACTTCTCGTACAAAAATACCTATATTCTTTAGTATTTCGAAAATTCTTAAAGTTCGATCAAATAAATTGAATAATTCAATTTAAGAAGGAAATCTTACAATCGAAATGAATCTGATTAAGGCAAAGATAAATATGTGCACTATCAACACATTCGAAAACGATGACTCATATTTTTATCATTTTGAAATACCTAAAGTAGTCGAAACTGAATTGAAATGGAAAAAGGAATGTTTTAAGGAAATAATGAAAGCTGCGGATCTTAAAGATAACAAAAATTGCACATTCACTGGGGCAAAATTTCATAAAGAGAACGAAGTTTTGGTACACAATGGAAAGGATATTGGGCTTTTTGAAGTTGATATAAATCAGTCTAAGACATGGCAGGTAATCTCCTTTTGTGATATTTCAACCTAATATTATAATGAATCAGAAAATTCTTAAAATTTACCCACTGATCAGACAATGGATAAGCGAACTTTCAAGATTTCGGAAACTATTGAAACACGAACATATAGGGTAGAAATTCCAATATGCCTTGTCTTAAGTCTTGACTCAAGCTTTTCTTGCGTTTTTTTCGGTCTTGGTCTTTGGTGTAGTCCCAGGACTCGAGTTTTTTTTCTGGTCTTGGATTTTTTTGGTCCCACTGACCAGACAGACCGTGACATTTCAATATTTTGTAAACTATTGAAACACGAACATATAGGATATAAATATATAAGACGCTTGGACTTGCCTCTTGACTCAATACTTTCCTTGGGGGTTTGTCGGTCTAGGTTTTGGGGTGTAGTCTTTCTCGAGTCTTGAGTCTTGGAAAATTTCTGGTCTTGGACATCTCTAATATAAGACTAAATCCTCTAAAAAATTAAATTTTGTGGGATAAGGAAAATAAGTATGTTTATTATATTTTTATACCTGAGTGTGTAGATGGTTGAATCAAAAGAGGATTTGGAGGTTGTTCCATTGATATCCAACTATAAACAATTTCTCTTATTCATAGATTTCCCACAATTCCAATATTCATCTAAATCCAACATAATCCCATCCGTTAATCATGCAAATCTAATCCATCCAAATCCCCTATATACTTCTAAATCTATCGGCATTCGCTACCCAAATCCACTTATATCCTCTTAATCCAGCTAAATCTGCTGGTTTCCTCATTTATCTACAAATTTTCGATATTTCTTATAATCTTCACACGAAAAAATGAAAATTTTTGGACGCACTAGTTTGGGTATGGGTAGGAATTACGAATTTGTTCACTGACGGATTGTCCACTGACGTATTGTCCGACCTCTGACGCATTGTCCACTGACGGATTTTCCACTGCCGGATTGTCCACTGACGGATTGTCCGGGAGCCGGAATACCGATATTTAACGAAAAATACGACCGTCGCACAGTACGTTCCGATCACTAATTTTAACCCCTTAAACTCTAAATCAGCCCAGGCCATATTATACTAATATAGATCTCGTGGAACAAGTTCATGGATTGGAAATAAGGTTGGCTGATATTTAGAAATCTACGGATATCCGGATCCGATATCTTCCTTATATCCGGCCTTTTTTCGTCCTCCTTATATCCGGAAGACTTCCTTATATCCGGAATTCCTATATCCGGCCTTTTTTCGTATCCGGATATCCGGATTTGCTAACTTTAATTGGAAATTCTGTACTTTTATAAGTATTTGTATTTACTGCTCATCAGTTTTATCAAATAAATTTTATATTTCTATAAATGGAAAGTCATAGAGATTCATTAAAACTAATATTATTAATCAGTGTGGTAATTCAGTAAAATTAAATGTGAAAACTGAAATATTATTTATAAAATTGAGATAAATTTAATCAAATGAATCATTTTAATATGTAAAATTGATAGAAATATTACTTAATTTATAAATATAAATTTAATTTCTTCTCAGATTTTCAGAACTTAATTATGCTTTATTGCATTTTAATATTTAATTTCTTAATTATATTTCAACTATCATTAGGAGAGCAGCGCTTCCTAGGCAAATTTTTATTTAATAATAGTAAAGGATAAGGATGATTCAGATTGAGCTAACGTAATAAAGCAAAAATTGAAATAAAATTTATAGAGGCAGGGAACGGTTATAGAGAGCCGTGTTTCAAAAAAAATTTTTTTCGGATCGGATTTCTGTTAAAGTTTCAAGTTTCTGTTAACCATACACGTCCCTCGTCTATAGAGTAGGGTTGTCGGTTCTGGACCGAACCGTACGGAAGAACCGAGGATTTTTCGGTTCGGTTCGGTTTCGGATATCCGAAAATTTCCAAGAAAAGACAACCATACTATAGATGTATGGTCGACGTACATATCACAGTGACTAGGAGTCGAAAAATGTTCTGTGGTTGAATTGCGCATACGTGAGGAATAAGGAATATATTTTATATTTTCCAATGATCATATCAATGATTAAACAATAGGTCAGTGAACTTTTCTATTCGTAGATTCTTTCGAGAACTGGCACTTCTCGTACAAAAATACCTATATTCTTTAGTATTTCGAAAATTCTTAAAGTTCGATCAAATAAATTGAATAATTCAATTTAAGAAGGAAATCTTACAATCGAAATGAATCTGATTAAGGCAAAGATAAATATGTGCACTATCAACACATTCGAAAACGATGACTCATATTTTTATCATTTTGAAATACCTAAAGTAGTCGAAACTGAATTGAAATGGAAAAAGGAATGTTTTAAGGAAATAATGAAAGCTGCGGATCTTAAAGATAACAAAAATTGCACATTCACTGGGGCAAAATTTCATAAAGAGAACGAAGTTTTGGTACACAATGGAAAGGATATTGGGCTTTTTGAAGTTGATATAAATCAGTCTAAGACATGGCAGGTAATCTCCTTTTGTGATATTTCAACCTAATATTATAATGAATCAGAA